GATTAACCAGCAGATTTGCCCCCATGTGATAACGTCCTATGACAATCACTCTTTCCCCTTAAATATGTATTTTCCGAGGCATGGTGGCAGTAGTTGCTACATCTGCTACCCTATCTACCTCTACCTGCTTGTTTGTCAGATGGGAGGCATGGAAGTTATTACACTGGGTAGTGGGTCATGGAAACAAAGCAATATATACAGTGAAGAGGATAACAGATGAATATTAGGCAAAATGGACTGACTTCTATGTTGTCTTGTTTCAAACCAATTTGTTTTCTTTAACAGCCAAAGCAGAAAACCTCTTTAGATTTATATGACAGCCAAAAGCCACAAAGGAGGAAGATTCTCCCACACATTTTAAATACTATTAGCAATGACAATTACATTTGAAGGTAGAAAGTAAATGATTCCTGATCTAAGATGTAATTGAGTAGGACTGAGGACAATATCTAATTGGCATCATGTCTAATTTGGCCCTTAGCTCCAATCTAGAGGTTTTCTTCTACTGGAATTCAGTATCCAACATAATGTTTCCTGCTCTTGCAGTTATCCCAAACACACTGTGATCTTTTTCCCCCAGATGTACTGCACCTCAACATGACAAGTGTTTCTATTCTCGTTTATAACCAGCAGATATATGTTCCAGCATTTTCCAGAAGATACTAAAGGTGTGATTTAGCCATCCACAGAGATACAAAAACAACCAAGTGATTAAGAAAAAAAAAGCTATGCAGCTGTAGTAAAAGGGCACAAATATGGTGCTGGCAGATTGGGGGAAAACTGCCAATGTCTCCCACCTTACAAAGCACTGATCTACACAACATCACTGCTGTATAGAGTACTTTTTGTCACTTTTCTTTTGGGTTAAATGTATTGTCAGTAGGTGTGTGTGTGAGAGAGAACTTTCACAGTTCTATTACAACTCTATCACTTTTTTCCTCTGTCTCATGTTTTTGTGAATTGGCAGTCAAGAGTGGAAATGCTGTTTTGCATAGATAAGTAGAACACGATTTGAGATCACAAATTCATTCCCTCAAAACAGATCCTGCTCTACTTGCATGTACATTGCTAGTTCACTGGGAGCTACTTTTTTTTTTTGTAACCTTTTCTTCCTACAAGGAAGCACTTATAAAAAATAGTATTTCCCTCCCTTTTCTCACATCTTTGACAGTAAGCAGAGAACAATACAAGTGATTATCTTATTGTCATCAGTGGCTCTGGCTTGTGAAGAATCTCATATGTGCCAACACTGAAACGCCTGGGGAAGTGGATGCTTTGCTTGTGCTTCAGCACAGTCACCTAGAGATTGTAAACTAGCCATGGCCCTCCCTTCATTGGTTGTCTCACAAATGCCACCAAACAATGGAGAACCACAAGGAGGTGGTGGCTGCAATCTGATGGCAGGGGTGGCAGTCGCTTTCTGGAAGCCCACCAAACCAAGGCTGGGGCCACAGTCCTAGTCAATACCAGCGGACATATGCAGCAGCAAAGTTCTGGCTGACATTCTGGTAGCCATTCTGGCTATGTGCTTTATTTATTTTTTAAAACTTTTGTATGCATTTAAAATATTTTATAAAGGTTTACATGCAATGGTTTCAATTTTTAAAACTGCATGGTTACGTTTTAAGTGATTTTCTTCCGTGAGCCATCTTGAGTTCATTTATAAATGAAATAAATCATATTGTGGGAGACAGAACTCCATCTGTATGCTGGATTGGGCCCTTAAGACAACTTCTTGTACTGTAGGCAAATTGGGAACTGTTTGCATAACAAAGAACTGGATACCTCCATGCACAAGCATGTAAAAGGTACCACTGGTATAACCCAGTTACACTAGTGTAATGCCCCAGCAAGATCCAACCTGGGTTTGTGAGAAGCAAGTGCAGGCAGATGCCTGCAGAGCTGGGGATAGCAGGAATGATTCTGTTCTCTGCCACAGCCACAGATTATACTAGCAAGGGAGAAAAAGATGGCAGCACAAACAACTCCTTCTAGGTAATATGGTGGCTCATACTCCCCTGGTGCATGACCTCCAGTGCAAGTACATGCAGATACTGCACCACTCATTCACACACTCACTACCACAGTTTGCTGAACTGCCTATCCTCCACCTATTACTCCTGAAGCTGTGGTTTCAGAAACTGCAGTATGCAAGGATATTGAGGTGAGGAGGGGGGGGAAGAGAAGTCAAGAAAATATGACATGTAAACAATGGAGTCATACCAAATACTCTTCCTCCCATGGATATGAATTTGTTCCCTGTCCTGTGGCAAGTATTGGAACAAAATGGGAGTGAAGGAGCCGCCTCATCTCATTAGCTCATGTTAAACCTGTCTTTAAAAAACTGGCTGAATTAGACTTCATGGTGCCTGTTGCTATAATTCTTTCAATAATTTTCAACACTCAGGTTCCTCTGAAAGAGCCTCTACTTCAAGACTGTAGAGCAATTTTGGTTGTTAAGCTAAATGCATATCCCACCAAAATGTGATCTAGGGCTTCACTGTAAAACACTTGCAGGGATGAGTAAGTGTGGCGTTTGTGAACACAGTAGTATTTGCCTTTGAGCCAGGATGGCATTCTGGTTTGTTGGATTAGCACTCTGGGAGACTGAGGTTCACATCCCCACTCAGTGATCTTGGACAAATCACACACTCTCAGCCTTAGAGGAAAGTAATGCCAAACCACCTCTGAACAAACAACAGAGAGAGTGGCCTACGCTGCATCATTCATCTGTGTTTGGCATCATTTCATGTTAAGTAAGATCTGTTTACATAAACTAACTAGTTTGCCCAAAGCTTCCTGAAACATCTTAAGATTTACCAATGGTTGTCTGTAGTTATGTGTTATTTGTTGTTACCTGTCTCGAGCCATAGGGAGAGACAGTTAAGAAGTGTTGTTGCTGTTGTTATGTGCCTTCAAGTTGTTTCCGACTTATGGCAACCCTAGCATGGGGTTTTCCTGGCAAGTTTCTTCAGAGGGGATTTGCCATTGCCATTGCCATTGCCTGAGGTTGGGAAAGTGTTACTTGCCCAAGGTCACCCAGTGAGTTTATATGGCCAAGCCAGGATTCGAACCCTGGTCTCCAGAATCATAGTCCAGCACTCAAGCTACTACACCACACTGGCTCACTGTGACTACTATAGATACCAAGATATTTTTTTCTTTTTATTCATGAGATAATCGGTTCACTCTTGCACTGTGATATACTCCATTTTATGTCAAAACAATTGTTATGCAAATTACAGGTCTTCATAAGGCAATTATTGTAGTTTCTGCATTATAATTCCTCCTGATGTCCCTGTTTATAATTCCCCTCATGTGTACACTGTACCAGTAACTCAGGAATTATTTAATGCATCAAAAGAAATGAACTGCAATTTATGGAAGCTTATACTATAAGACATTTGTTAGTTTTTAAGGTGCCATAAGACTGTCACCTAAAGGTGGATGTATTTATGCCTCTGCTACTTTTTTGAGAAATAAATGTGACTGAGTTGGATGCTGAACTGCTTTATAGTCATTACAACATGCAAACCAATATATAACCACATTTCACATGACCCAAGATAAAACAAAATTGTGCTGGGTGATTGGTAGTATGGAACTGTATTTTCCATGTAACATACTATGGGTTTGTTTGGGGAGGGGCCTCTTTAACCGAAGGAAGGTCCATTTACAATAACATGTTTATTTCAAAAATAATCTTACAAGACCCTCAGTCTGCATCTATAGCATCACTTCTGCTGTATTCCTTTTAATTTCACCTTTGTCTTTTGCTCTTCCAGTGCTATTTTATGTGTCCCCACTGCCAATGTTGAATTTGCAAAATCTAACCCATGTAATAGTACACCTACCAAAGCATTGATCCATATAGGGTGCACCAGGAGGAGGAGACAGGAATGATTTGAGACTGCAAAGTGGCCTGGTTTCATTTTTCTGTAATGAATTGTCTGCAATCCTTACCTGATATACTTAACTGATAGCAAACCATTGTGACTCATAAAGACTTTCCTCCTAGTAAAACTGCATAGAAATGGAACAAAGTGACTTAGTAAGATGCCTGTGTTGAGGATGGATGCCCCAAGGCTTTCAGAATGGGGCAACAAAGTCTTTCAGAAACAGTGAAAAATGATGGACATTGGTGGCCCAAGATCTTCCCTGGCAGCTTGTTGGAAAGAAATAAAAAATTGTTAGTAGAAAAAGGACATAATAATTAAGAACAGTAGGTTTGAGGTTCACAACTATCTTATTTATTAAATATATGCTAAACTATTTATTTGATGTTGTCAACTCTGATTTATGGTGCCCCTATCATATTCTTGGCAAGATTTATTGAAGAAAGGTTTATCATTGCTTCCTCTTAGGTTGAGAGAGTGTGACTTGCCCAAGATCACCCAGTAGGTAGGTTTCCATGGCTGAGTAGATTCAAATCCTGGTCCCCTGAAGTCCTATTCCATTACTCAAACCACTACATATCTTTGGTAACATGATGATACTGACAGTATTGCAATCATATCAGTTGTTACAGAACAACATGAAGGTGGTATTGTTCTGATATCTTACTTGTTGGCTTTGCAGAAGAATCTGGTTAGCCATCAAAGGAAATGGATTACAGAAGCATTTGGTCTGATTCAACAAGGCTCTTCTTATCAGCATACTTGTTTAAAGAATTGTGAGATTACCATTTTCACAATGGTAAATTACTACTTGCAAATGAAGACTCAGGACACTGGGGTGTGTTTGTGTGTGTGTGCAGGCCATACCAAGTGACACCCTAAGGGGGGAGTGACACCTCTGTTCCCCAAACATCTGCCTTTAGACAGATATGGACTGTAGCATTGGCCTCTGTCCCTTTAAAATGCTAAAGATATTGTGTAAGTGGGGTGAGGTTGAGTGTGAGGAAGGAGAGGCCTTGTTTTTTTTTTAAATTGAATGTAAAAATTTAAAATTGAAAAGTTTTTAAATTTAAAAATGTGTACAGTAGCCCCTCCATTTTCATGGACTTTGGAGCCGCATCCCTCGCTTATGTGCAAGGGACAAACGGAGGGGAATACAATGGGGTGCGCCCCCGTACCTCTATTTAAACCTATAGGGCTTGAATATGGACAGGTTTCCATTTTTGCGAAGGGATCCGGAACAGATCCCCTGCAAAAACAGAGGGGTAACTGTACATTCTTTTTAAATTTTATTTTAAAGCATCACATCTTACCACATTTTCACTTTAACCACATGAAACTGTATGCATATAAATACATATAGGCTGTAATACACACATTATATCTTTAAATTATTTAATTACATTATTGTAATTAAATTAATATTGTAAATAATTACATTATAGTAATTAGATTAATATTGTAAATTAATTATAATACTGTAATGCAATGGTATAATTTTAATTTTGCTATTTTTTATGTTGCAACTATTGCCATTGCATTCAGTGATACATAGGAATTATGATTTGAGTAACACTAGTACAAAAAAATTACTCAGGATTTTATATGGTGTGATGAGGAAGGTGGTCAATGGGAGAGGTGACACCACAAGTTACCACACTTGGTGACGCCACTGATATACAAAGGGATCTTGTAGCACAGCTGAGACTGAGGCTAGTTATTAATTTCATATTGAATATATTTTCACCTATCTTTCAGCTCAAGAAGTCCATGTGAGGGTTACAGTATATATTAAACTAATGTGCAATACACCTGCAACAATAAAGTCACATTAATGAGAACAGAAACAGAACTGCACAGCCACAACAGTACTGTGGCACCTTAAAGACAACCAAGTATAATTTTGCAGAATACAAATTCATCGGATGCATCCAGATGAGGCCTGGAGAAGTGCTGGGTGATCCCACTAGCACTCTGGTAGAATCATCACTTTCCACACATTTGCACACCACAACCCACGCAGCTTGTTTCAATGCTACCAAATGTATTTATTTTAGTTCTCAGGCTGAAGTACAGAATGGCTAAGCAGTTAGTAATGACAGAGATAGCCATTAGAGACATCCCAAACTCACTTAACCAAAAGGTGACTTTTCCTTGAAATAAAGAAGCACACGGCATTGACTTGTAGAAACATGTTCAGCAAGCATACAGAAACCTCTAGAAGTTTCTAACAGTTCTAGCTGCTTTTGACAGGTATTATAAACACAGTGCAAACACAGGAAAGAGGAAAACTAACAATACACTAAATAATGACTCTAAAAACCTGACATAATATCCTTTGATTTCTGGTGCAACTTTGTGTTGTGTGACTCCTATCGGGCAGAGTGGGCTTACATGGATTTTCAGTATCTAACCAGAGTTGGCTTTTAAAACATGTGAGAGCAGAAAATATTTAATACTTTCTGATGAAATGTTTGGTCCCCCACCCTTCCTGGTATCATGTTTTTTGGTCTTTGTTCATCATACATCTTTACTGAGTAATTCTTAGTAATACTGAGTCAGTGCTAAAGAGCTACTTCATCTGAATAAAGATTCACAGCATCTGGTTATACTGTGAAACAGTCAAATACTTTTTTTTCCAGCATGTTATAGCAAAAATTAAAAAGATAGCCTTTAGATACAACTGATATAATGAATAATAGTGGAAAACAATAGGATTCACAAAGTTGGTTTCTCTTCATATCTGTAACATCCCATTATATGCAAAACTTAAGCTTGTCTTTTCACATTTATTTTTCAATAATAGTGCTGTTGCTTCTAACCAGGAATATTTTCCCCTCTTCTAATGTTAATGTTTGGTCTACTTCTCACATTTGTATTTTATGCCTTAGTCTCAGTCTTTTTAATTAAAAAAAAAGTTTAGTAAAAGCCACTTCTCACTTGGGATGTAGTCTTTACAATGTAAATTGTAGACTTATAATATAGTTTACATAATATATTTTATCACATTTTGTATATTGAGTGACAATTGGTAAACAGGTAGTTTAAAAAGTATAGATAAAAATATACAAAATCTTTCAAAATGATCACTAATTTTAAACAAAATGCAAATTGGCCTATTGAACTACTTGCTACTTACGTCTCTTCTTCTTCAAAATGTATTTTTTTTCTATTACATGAAAAGCAAACGTGGAACTTCTCCTTAACAAACCAAAAAAAAAACAAACCAAAAAACCCCCCAAAAAACAAAGTGGCAACAAATCCTATGTATGTTTACTCAGAATATATAACTAATTGTTCAGTATGGCTTATTCAAAGGCACCTGTGTACTGTATTGGAGTTTGATAGAATGTCTAATACAAGTTATATTCTGAAGAAAACTAATTCAGAAACTGATTTGTTTTCTACCTATATCTTATCTTGGCTTCTTAAGCATAAAACTTGCATTAACTGGTCAAATATTTAAAATACATGGAGTTCCATGGAAATGTGAATCATGATTTGCTGTCATCTACATTTTATTTTAGAAACTAAATCTGTGTTTTGGATTTTATGCTACAAAATAAAAAGGGTTTCCTTTTTGATACTAGTATGAAGGTATAAATCCTGTTACGCATATTGTTTCTATATTATTTTTGTATGTTCGTACAACTTCTACATCAGTCTTGAGTTTTAACAGATCTCTTGATAGCCATTGGCAACTAGGAATTCCACAATGAGTGGGCTGGAACTCCTGCCCCACAGTCAGCTCAGAAAATAGGCTGGAAGAATGATTCAGCAATTGCCTTACCTGCACCAGTCCATTAAATAGGCCATTTTGAACTCTAGTGTGCTGAGAAGCTAAGGACTTGCTAGAGGGTTTCCCGTCCTCCACAACCTGTATAATGCAGGTTACTAGACTCTTAAAAAGCTATTACCTTTTGCAGGCTGAGTCCTGCTCTTCATGCATATTACTGGCATACAACCAAACACGTTTTAAAACTTCCAAGAATTTTTTATTAGTGCAACCATTTCCTATAAACATCTTAAAATGTTTGTCAACAGCTTAAATGATTCAGCTGCTACTGTATGTTTCTTAAAGATTCAAACAGTTTTAAAGAAACACATTTTCTGCAAAAAGAAAAAATATTTTCCTTACCAAACAAAACAGTAATTCAGATTCATCTCCACCCACCTGCTTTATCTACAAAAGAACAGTGCTTCATTTCTCCTTTTGAAAATCCTCTTCA